ACTTTTTACTTGCGTAAAGCTGAGTAATTATTGGAGTAAATTGCTTAGCTTCGCGTGAATAACATTTGAGTTTTCTTAAATTCACTTAAGCTGAACAGTTATTCCGAGTAAAAGTAATTGCTTCTTTTTATTCACCTGGTCTTTTACCTCATTCCATTGTCAAGCGTCAATAATTTAACTTGTACAAAGTGTTTTGTTTTTTAATATTTGCAAATATTTTGCTCAAGTAATTAGAGTTGGTATGTTTTATTCTTGAATTCATAATTCTATTTATACGTAATATGTTTACATTATTATTATTATAATTTTATTTCATTCAAGTAATGGAAAACCAAAACAAGAGAAAATGTCATTTTAATGATCAATTGAAAAACGAATTTGATTTCCTCATGTCAGAGAGTGAAACCATTGTTTTTTGTAATATTTGCAGAGGAGAATTTTGTATTGCAGTTGGAGGGAGAAGTGCTATAACGAAACACTTAAACACCAACAAACATAAGAAGTCATTAGATGCTTCAGCTTCCACTAGTAAAGTAACAGATTTTTTTAAATCATCTAATTATTCTGAGGGTGAAAAACAGTTAGCTGTAATGGAGGGAACATTTGCATACCATACCATAATTCATAATTAAAGTTTTAGACATATGGATTGTACAAGTAAATTAATGAAAAAATTTTATAATGCTAAATTTTCATGTGCAAGGACAAAATGTGAGGCTATTGTTAAATCAGTATTTAAAAATTACTGTGATAACGTACTTGCAGAAGACTTAAAAAATGCAAGATTTGTAACAATTTTATCTGATGCCTCAAATCACAATGAAACTTAATTGTATCCAATACTAGTAAGGTATTTTAATATTACCAAGGGCATTCAAGTAAATATTTTAAATTTAGAATCTATTGATGGAGAAACTGCTGATATTTTGTCACAACACCTATTCAGGGTTATAAATGAAAATGATTTGAAATCTAAAATTGTTGCACTAACAGCTGATAATACAAATACGAATTTTGGCGGGCGAAAACGGAAAGGAGTAAATAATGTCCATGTAAAATTACAGGACTTACTTCAAAAAAAAATACTATGAATTGGTTGCAATGCACATATTTTGTCAAATGCAATTAACACAGCATCATGTGCACTGCCAATTGATGTAGAAGTTATAATAACCACAGTTTATCTGTATTTTAGTCGTTTTACAGTTCGTGTTGCTACTTTAAAACAATTTTGCGAAGAAGCAAATGTCGAATACAAAAAGCTTTTAGGATATTCGAAAGTAAGATGGCTTGCTTTAACACCTGCTATTGAGCGTGTTTAAAATTATTTGAACCCCTCCGATCATATTTTTTAAGTTTAGAAAAATGTCCAAAAATTCTTGAATTATTTTTCAATAAGGAATTATCAGAGATATTTATGTATTTTGTACACAATCAGGATACTTTATTTCACAAAACAATTCAAAAGATTGAAAGCGATAATATCTCTGCTGCAGAGGTTAGCCTTATTTTAAACGATTTTATCCTTCAATATAAATCACGATTTAAAGATAGTTTTATTCCTCTAATGATAAAAAAAAAGTTATCAAATTTAGAAGAGTCAAATCCTGGGGTGAGAGATAAATTTAACAAAGAAGTGCAGAACTTTTACCAAACATGCTTCCAATATGTCGAAGAATGGTCTGAGACAAATATCACAGCATATAACAGTTTTCAATGGTGTTTTTTGAGTTCACATGTTATTTGGGCAGATATTGAAAAGTTATCCATATTTTATTACATTTATAATGCAGAGCTTTGATATGCAAACGCGAATCTTAATACAACTACTTCCTCGAAAAGGGTGGTATTTTGCAAATCCAATATAAGATGATTCACATCGGCTAAGCTGCCATCCAGAACCATTGTTAACAAACTTTTCCATCCATGCAATAAATTTAGCTAGAGATGTCTTAAACATCTGATTGATATCATTTTTATTAATTATAGTTGCAATATCAGAACGAAGGTATACAGTTTGTTTTATAGTTCAAGTAAGCTCGTTCTCATTATAAATATATTTAATATTTAATGTTGCTTACTCCACTTCAGCTACAAGAACCATTGTTACTTTTCAAACCCTTTAAATTTGGTATCATTTTATTAGTAAACGTAAGTGCGTCAGATTCAAGTTTATACAATTTATAAAAATAAATCAATAAAAAAATTTAATACAAATTTTTTTGACTTTAACACTATCTATTAATGGAGAGTTATTTAATGAAAAGCTGAAACACAATATTTACTTAAAAAAATTGCGTAAAAAGTCGCGATTTGATGACGTCATCATACTAATAAAATATTTTTTTAGCTTACATTTAAATCGCTAACTTGAAAAAGGGGACATGTCCTGCAAAAATTCATATAACATGTCCCCTTTTTCAAGTTAGCAACTTATTTGTTGTCGTAGTAAATAAATTACTTTCACAAACACAAGCAAGGTTTCTGAAAGGAGATCGTATTAATCTTAACATCAGAACCTTTTACAAGCGTGTGTATATAAACTACATAAACAATATAAAACGTAATTAACAATAAAAGTTCTAAAGAAAATTTAAAATTACAATTAAAAACACCTGACTACATCATCCATTAAAGTAACTTCATTTTTCAGTATATATTTTAAAATGGGAAAAGTAAATGCATGTCGATATGTCGATATAGATTGTTTTTCACCATTCTAAAACTTTGGTAAGTTTAATAAGCTTTTTTATTGTTAAATAATATATAGGTTGTCAACCCATATAAATAATTTTGTAAATTTCATTGTAGTTACAGTTATGGTCGAATAAAAGATGAAGATAAATATAGTAATATATGTGGAACTGGCCATCGTTATTTATTGTATTTCAAAAAAGCATTTTTTAAACATTAAAAAAAATATATAAAACATTTCTTTTTTTGTTATTTTTATAATTTTTTTTAGCAATAAGCGTCTTTATTGCTTATGCAACAAGTTGAATTAGTTACACTATAATGTAGGAGGAAACGGGGGCTAGTTACACTATAATGTAGGAGGAAACGAGGGCTAGTTGCCTCTGTTTTTACTCTATGAGCTCTTTAGGCCTAATGTCAAAATTTTTTGAAAATATTTAAACCCAGTCTTAAAGAGTATGAATCTAGGTAACATTTTTAACTTGCATTCGATATAAAAAAAAATTTATTAGGGACCCTTTTAAGGCCTCAAAAAAAAAAAAAATAATAATAACTTATTCCACACCGGGTAAAGTTGACGCACACTATTAAGTGCAAAGTTTATAGAAACTTTTTTACTATTTACTTTGGCAACAATTTAGCCAAAAACTTAATATTAATTTTAGATGGTACCAAATATAAGTATAACAGCCAACAAAGTAATCTATTTTTTATCTGTAAAAAAGAAACCTAAAAAAATTGTAAAAATAAATTTTTTCAATATTGTTAAAAATAAAAAAATTAAAAATAATTGAATTTTTTAACCCTAGTAAATGGTATGAGCCAACCTACCAAGTGAAAATTTTGCCAACATACCCTAAAAGTCTTTTTTTTTAAATAAACAGTCTATAGATCCTGAAAAACGGCAACTATAAAAAAAAATCTGACTGCATATAGTAAACCAATTGTTACTAAAATTTTTGCAACAATTTTTTTTAATGAAAGACTCTGAAGATAAACGCAGTTCGTCAACTTACCCCTGCTGCTAACTATAGTTAGGACCAGGGGTAGTTTATTCTCCTGAATTACTATAATGATTAAATTAGGAAGGATTTTTTTTTTATTTTTTTTTTAAGACATGGGTTTCAACACATATCTCTTGAAAAAATAATCTAACTAATTTAACTATGCAATCCTTAAAGTAATAATAATATATCTTTAAAGTAATAATAATAATAAATCAAGTGATAATACTAATTTAACAATGTAATCTTTAAAACACAAATAATTCAATTAAACGCGAAATAAAAACATAAAGTTCTAGTATTAACTAAAACCCATTTTCTAAATGTAATATTTATAATTTCTACTAAGTTCTTACAAAAACCAGCTAATCCAACCAAGTAGCAAGTAAAAAGTTTATTATTCCAACTAAGTTCTGATTAAAACTTGCTAATACGACTAATGGCCGAATAAAAACTTGAATGTTCTACAAAGTTCCAAATAAAACCTTCTTATACAACTAAGGATGTTTTATTTGGAACTTTCTTACGAATACATGTCAGGAACTTAGTAAGTTTTACTTACAGACTTACTAAGTATTTATTAGGATTAATCAGTGTTTTTTTCTCGGGTGGTTCCTTATCCTGCACGAAAAATTTGGCTTTGGAATGCCATTCATAAATGATGGTTTACATAATGACATCACCAGATTTCGTTTTTGAAATTTTAGTATACAGTTGCTCTTATTTTTTCTTTGCAATTGTGTGAACTTTTATCATTGAAAAATATTTAATTGCTTCTTTAAAATACTAATTTACGTAGGTTGCTCATATTTATGTAAGAAGCAGAGCAGATGCGCAATTAAGTTTAATTAATAAATAAGTGTAAAATATTATATAACTGTTAAAAATAAATAAATTGTGTGTTCCGAAGAATAAATAAATAGTGTGTTCCGTAGAACTGAAGTAAAGGGATTTCCGTAGGAAATCCCTTTACTTCAGTTTTTTTATTAAAAACTTTTTTTAGGTAGAATTTAATTATGAAAATTATTTCACCTTAAGCAAAACTTATACTACAAAATTTATGAAGCTCTGAAAGTTTCCATATCGAGGAGGATAGATCTATCTATGTATTATATATCTAGATATGTTTTTTTGCTCTACCATATGTATAAAACTATTTGTTTTTTAATCAAAATATTATTACGCGAATTAAAAAGATTTACTGCGAACAAAGTATTTAAAATTTTATTCTCTATATTGAATAAATTTTAAAACACTTTGCTCTCCGTACAATATTTGCTTATAATTCAATAAAAACTTTCATAAAAAAAAACATCATAAAACTTTATATTCGTTTTAATATCTTTTATTTAGTTTTGCATTGACAAGTTGGACATCCGTTTTTGTCGAGAATATTTCCATTTTCACAATAACTCAGGCATACTTGAGTACATATTGGACGACCTAGAAAAGAAAACACCTATTTTCTTTACACGCATAGAAAGTAAGTTTAATTTGCACTTGTTATAACCTAAATTTTACATACATTTTCCTCGTGCATTACGTATATCAACTCCTAAAATCGGTTGTTTAATGCATTCAAGATTACTATCACATTTTCCAAAAATTCCAAATGGTCCACCGCATTCTTCATCCAAAGTTTTAGCACAGACGTCACAACAATAACAAGGATCTTTTATAATTCCACCTGTGTTATAAAAAGAATTTATTATTTAACAAACATTCTCATAACATTAAGCTTTTTCTTACAAATTTAATCAGTATGTAATAATACATGTTTGTTTAAGTAAACTTTGAAAATTCATTAAGAAAACAAAATATCACGATATTTCATAATAATATCTCCATAAGACTATAAAAAATCTTTAACTTTATATATCCTTCAGGGAAACCTTCAAATTTTTCAAAATTTTCAAAAATTGTTATTAGAGCTAATTACACCTTATTGCAATTTTTACAAAATTTTCTACCGTTGCTTATTTAATAATTTTCTCTTCTACCATTGCTTATTTAATAATTTTCTCTTCTAATTCTAAATATGAAAATAGTTTTTTTTATCATCGATTGTTTCAATATTATTAGGTCTTAAGCGCTGACCAGTAATCGAGTGCCTACACCTTGGTCAAACTTAAGACTAAATTAGTTTGTTTCAAAAACGTATATTTTCCTATTGGGAAAGTTATGTTATTCTTGAAATAGCTAGTAAAAGTTGTTGAAACTTTTCAGATAAAATATTTTAGAACTTTAAAAATGATAAAAAATAAAAACTATTTATCGCCTAAATATATTCAGACATTACACTCTCAAAAAAGTAACATATCCGTAGAAACTACACGCCCATACACCCATACACCACAAGAAAGAAATAACAGCTAAAACAAACTTCTTGTGTGTGTGTTTTATTATAAAATACCTCCGCTCTACTATAACTTATATATTGTTAAATTGGTAACTACTACTAAATATGAAATTAAAAAAAAAAAATTTATGATTGATGATTGATCTTTCATATATAATTTCTTACCTTCTTTATTTACATTAAACACTATTAATAATCGAAGTTAAGTTATAAAAATTAAGAATTTCTTTGAATTTATTACTTAAATTGATTTTCTAAATAAAATAAAAAAATTTTTTACGTTAAAAATAAAATCATCAAATTGTAAACAGCATCACAAAATGGTAGTAATACACTTAATTATATAAATACTTTGTTGTCCCGATGTGCCCCACAAAAGTCATTTTAATGAAAATAATACTATTCAAAATGTTCAATTCCAAATGTTTTTTAAAAACCAGATTCTAAAAGAGGATACAAAATACTGTCTGAAAAATATTAACTTTTTATAAACAAAGCAAATTCGCAATAGTCCACGATAAATCTTTTATTGCTGTACGGCTTAAGAAAATACGCAAATTTTGTTTTTCGCAAATTTACTGATGCATTTTGGTACTTTTAATGCATTTTGGTATTTCTAAAATTAAATTTTTTTTTAGAATAATGAATTACAATAATTAAAAATATTTTAACAAAAAAAAAAAAAAAAAAAAAAAAAAAGTAGTTTTTAGCTGAGATATAAGGCTTCAGGCATAACTGCCCCGTTATGCCCCGCTGTCCCGATATGCCCCGCTCTACACTAAACAAGATAAGGACAAGACCTTTGCTATATTGTGTTATTATATGCAATAACACATTGAAAAGCGTTAAGTATTTTATATTTTGGTGCATCTTAATAAAAAGATTTATAAAAGTTATACTGTTTTAGCATTTCCAAGATTGAGGGATACCAGCTAAGATTGAGGGGTACCAGATAAGATTGAGGGGTACCAGCTCGGATTTTTTCTTAAAATATAATAACTTACATAAAAGTCAAATAATAAATTTTTTTTCGTACATTTTGCGTCCACTTAAATAAAACATTAAAAATAAAAAGCAAAATGGAAGTAGATATTTAATTTTTTTTCTAATTGAATACTTTAGACTTAAAATGAAGATATTTACAAATCATGCATTTGTTCTGTATACAATTGTCGCCATCATGAATACATAAGTTTTGTTTTTAAAATTTAATTTTCTAGTTTTGAAAACTTTGAGTTTCAAAAAGTTACCTGAATCAAATTACCAGCGCAATTTGAAACAGGAAACTTTTGCCACGCACAAGAGCATTTAACTTGCAAGTTTTTAAAAAAATATAAAGAAGACAAATTAGAACGTTCAAAAGACATTCAAAAAGTTAAAAAGACGTTCGAAATACTTTCAAAAGGTTTAAAAGATGTAGAAAATGTCTTTTTTAACGTTTCATGTCCACTTGGATGGCTCAACAGTTTCAAAGAATTAAGGAAGCCTATTTAAAGAGTACTTTAAAGAAACCATAAAAAAATAAAGTTACCATTGTTTGTAATTAAATATAAATAAAAGTTTGCAATTATAGCTAAAAATTCTACTATCAAAAATCTATCAGAAATTTCTTAATTTAATAAAAACTAGTTTACAAAAAAAGACTTTTCACACTTTACATGACAAATCGGTTGAACAAAGGCTTTTTTTTTCTTTCTTAGTTTACATTTGTTGTCGTAGTTTATAAATTACTTTCACAAACACAAACAAGGTTTCTGAAAGAAGATCATACTGATCTAAAGGGTTCCTTTACAAGCGTGTGTATGTAAACTACATCAAAACATAATCAACAAAATAAAACGTAATTAACAAAAAAGTTGTAAAGAAAATAAAAAATTACAATTAAAAAAACCTGAATACATCAATCGTTAAGTTAATTAAATTTTCAGTTTATATTTGAAAATGGGGAAAGTAAAATAGGGGAATTTTGCGTAAGATGGTTACGGGTAAACTACTGATTTTTTTTGCGAACATTTTTGGTTAAGGATATTTATACAATTTTGACGGTGTTATTTATTTTAATTTCTTGGTTGTATAGTTAATATTCTTTGATTGTTTTTTTTTTTTAATTTACCACCCTGTTATAATATTTTATTTTTAATATTTTGTAATTGCGTTAGAACTAAACAAGATCATCAAAAATTTATTACATCTTCAATATTTTATACTTATCTGCTGATTCCATGGGTTATATGAGAAAATACATAAGCTGTTGCCATGCTATTTAAATTATGATAGCACTTGGTGAAGTTGCTTAAGATGATAATTTTTTAAACGCTTTAAATGAGATGCGGCTTTTCTTAAGGAAAAACTCGATTTTTTAAAGCTATTCTCTACGGAGCTTCTCCACGGAGCTTCTCCACGGAGCTTTTGGTATTTTATTGTATTTCAAGAACGATAGTTTTTTTAAAAAATAGAATCGTAAACTTTTTCAGAGAAAGATTTGTAAATGTTTTTTCTTATGGTGATGATACGTTTTACTTAAGTATAGTCCTTAAAGATACAATTTTTTTCATTTTTTTTGTGACTATTTTTTTATTTTGAGTTTATTTGAGTTCCATAAAAAGTTCATCATAGGAAACTGGTTTTCTAAGGTGAACTTTTTTAATGGAATGGTTGGGTGTGTTGACAATAACACAATTTCGGGTATAGAGATTTTTTTAAAAAGAACTAATTATTTATACTCTAAGAGGAAAGATTAAACTAAAATAAACTGCAATAATAAATATAAATATTACAATATTTAGGCTGCAAAAAAAAAAAAACAATATAGTGTTAACATGCTCAACTTACACAACCTTCCCTAACATGTCAAAATTAGACAAAACTATTTTATTCCAAAGAGAGGGTGCAAGATATGCAATACAAAACTGATTAAACTTGGTTCAAAAAAAGGACTCATGTACAAAATTATTGTTTCTAAGAGTATATTTATTGATTTGTTTCAAACAAAGAGATCTTTGAAAACGGATAAAGATATGTCATTTTTCTAGAGTTTTTTTTTTGTAAGCAAAATGTTTTGGAAGCCGACGCCAATAGAGAGGCGGAAGCCAATGGTGGCCGCCTTCATAAGAAATTTTCGAGGCAAAACCATAATGAGGCTACCTCCAATAGCTTCTGCCTCCCAGCTGGTTGCGGCCGCCAAATTAGAGGAGGAAATATTTGTTTCCCGCAGGTGAATGTTAGGAAAAATTATTGCACGTTTGTCTTCAACTGAGAATAAATGTTAAATATTTGACATCAAAGTTTTGTTTTATATAATTTATTACTAAAAAATGTTACTAGCAGATATACTTTTTCAATAACTTTTATAATAACGTTATGGCAAATGAGAAAATAGATTTTGATAAACGATAAAATAGATTTAAGCATGTCGACTTGCTCTAACCAAAATCAGTCAATTTAATTACTTATTATAGTATTGTTTTGTTTTTTAGTCAAAAAGATTTATTCGCCAATGGCATAGAAGTAAAATTTCCAACTTTTAACTTTTGTTTTGAATAATAAAACGGGAGCAAATATTTTCTCCTCCAATTTGGCGGCCGCAGCCTGTTAGGAGGCAGAAGCCGTTGGAGGCAGCCTCCGAATAATTCTGCCTCCACAACTTTTTCTGAAGGTGGACACCAAAAGCTTCCGTCTCCCTAATGACGTCGGCCGTCAAAACAATTTGGATCCAAAAAATAACTCTGGCTGCGGCCGCCAGTTTAATTGCCGCCGTTTAATTTACACCAGAGTTGATAATGCCGCCGGGCGGCATTATCAACTCTGGTGTAAATTAAACAAAAAATTATTCTACAGGGCAACATAGGTAAACTATAGGTAAACCTAGGTAAAAAAAACGAAATTCATAACAAATACTATGGAATTTAATTTGCACTAATTATTTATTTAAGGGTTTTTAAAAGTTTAGGAACATTGTGTATTCTTGGTTTGGAACTACTAGAAATTCGTCGCCTTAAGCAAGACATGTTATTATTACATGTTACAAAATTCTGAACAACTTAGTTTGCCTAAATAAATCAACTTTCTTTTTATTTAACAACTATATTTACACTCGAGGACATAATTTTAAATTACGCAAACTAAAATGTAAACTCGATGTCCGTAAACACTCTTTCTCACTCAGGGTTGTTAATATTTGGAATAACTTGCCGTCTGACGTCGTGAATGCCAAAAATATAAAGAGCTTCAAAATTAAAATTAACTCTATCGACTTTGAAAAATACTGTTCCGGCTAACTGGTTTTTGTTTTACAACTATGGTCTTATATATAATTGTAATATATATTTTAACTTAACTAGCATTTGTATTATGTGGTTGTAGGGCACGTTGTCAGAGTCTTTCATATTTTATGGACCTGCGTGTCCTTTAGAACATGTATCACTGTTCTAATAAATTTTAATCTAATCTAATCTAATCCAATCTAATTGTGGTGCAAAAAGAGTTGTTATCCAGTTTTGGGCAACAAACAAGCTCTCTTTTCATCAAAAATGTTACTTGCATCTGAGAATAGTATAGTCTCATTTTAAATGTAACTTAAATTTTAAACAATTAAAAAGTATATGATGTCTAATATGAAAAAAATTTCAATTTTAATCTAAATGAAAAAATGGAAAACAAAGATATAATTTTAAAAATAAATATTATGCAGATTAAAACTTAAAATAAAAAAATTATACTTAACAAAAAATTATAACAAAAAATGAAACAAGAATTAAAGAATTATATATATATATATATATATATATATATATATATATATATATATATATATATATATATATATATATATATATATATATATATATATATATATATATATATATATATATATATATATATATATATATATATATATATATATATATATATATATATATATATATATATATATATATATATATATATATATATATATATATATATATATATATATATATATGTATATATATATATAAATGTATATAAATATAATTCTCGCTCCCGCAGGAACTTTATTGATAATTCCGTCAAATCAGGTTCCGGCCGGAATTCAAAATTTCTGATTCGGTACACCTTAATCTACAGTTGGCAGTCGGCAAAAGTCGGCCAACGAGGATCTTTATTATTATTATTTTTTTACTTTTTTTAATTTAGATAATTAGTCTACGAAATATTTTTTTGGCTTTAGTCGGCAAAAAACAGATACGTCAACTCCCTCCCCCCTCCTTCCCTCAATTATATCTCTTAAGAACAGCCCAGCCCACTGCGAATAAGTAATTAAACAAATAAGTACTGTTATCATTATCAACAATATATATTTCCATTACAAATACGAGTTGAGACTTTTTTTTGAACTTTAAAAATTCTGTACATAAATAAGGCAATATCTAATCCATTTTAATCCAAAAATAAAGAGAAATTTTTGATTTAGTATAAATAAAGTCGCTTGTACTAACAGCTTAGTTTAAAAAAGGAATTTTATGTCATTGTTTTTGATTTTTATTGTTTTATATTTTGTATTATGTACAACATACTCGGTGGCCCGTAGACAAAACTCATCCATTTAACAATTTTTGACTTATCCTGCAATTCTATATTAAACTCGGTAGCCCTCAATTCTATTGTAAACTCAGGGCCCTATATACTTTGTCTACCCTGTTTACTCTATCGAGACACTTCTGGCGTCTAACGTACATTTTTATTAAGCAATAAGCAATCTATTAACTGTCTATCTGCATAATCGTTTTTTAAGATTTTCTTCATAGTTGTTTAACATTTGTATTAGGATAAAATAAAAAAATTATAAAGTGTAATACACAATGTATACATACTTTATTACACATACTTTATAGACAGTAATATGCTCTAAATCTAAAGAGTAATATATCATATATATACATATATATACATATATATATATCATATATCATATATATATGTATATACATATATATATATATCATATATCATATATATATATATATGTATATATATATATATATGTATATATATATCATATATCATATATATATGTATATATATATATCATATATATACATAGAAAATAATATAAAAAAAGTATATATACATATACTATACCTTTGCATACCGGTGTTAAGCATGTTTGCTTTTCGCATGCAACACATTTCAATGCTGTTGAAAACTCAAAAATAGAATAAAAAAAGCATAAGGTGAAAATGAAGCGACCCATTTTTTTCTTAAATAATTTTTCTAAACTAAAGAAAATAAAAACAATAAAAACAAATATAAATTTTAGGTTAAATATTTTAGTGAATTTTGAAAAAAAAGACTTCAACAAGTTCTTTTAAAAAACGATTGATGATAAAATGCTAAATATAAAACATTTTACTTTGTAACATTTGCAGATTAAAAAGGTTTATGTTGAAGTATAAAAAAGATTTACTAAATTTTGTAAAAAAAGTGTTCACGTTGCAATCTTTGCACAGTTGGCCATATGTGTTAACAAACTTAAAAAAAAATTATGTTAATGTAAAAAAGATTTACTAAGTTGTAACGTTTGCACAGTTGTTCATATGTGACGAAACAAAAGATTTTTAAAAAATTTTGATATAGGCTAGAATTGCATAATAAATTCAAAGTTAGAATTGTACTTTATTTTATAATAATCTAAAACTAACATATTTATTAACTATATTTTGTCTTGTAATATTCATCATAAAAAAAGAGCGATATATTTGCTACCTTTACAAGTTTTAAAAAAACCTTATTTTCTCATTTTAAAGAATTTCAAACTTGGTTATTATCTTTTAAACAAATTATGTTCTATAATGATTTATTTTAAAATATTTTTTATACTGTAATGATTTTTTAAAAAAAAGTACTATTATACGTAAATTATATATGAAGTAAATGTTTATTTATTTGCATTTAATATTAGTATTTTTAACACACATTGTTTAAAACAAGGAGGAGAGTATTTTATATCGTTTCATTTTTTAAATAACATATCATTAAAAACCAGAACGGTATTGATTATTTGCTGGCCTATAGCTTGAATGATTATAGCTTGAATGATTATAGCTTGAATGATTATAGCTTGAATGATTATAGCTTGAATGATTATAGCTTGAATGATTATAGCTTGAATGATTATAGCTTGAATGATTATAGTTGTCATTACACAGTTATTATACTACTATTTGAATTGTCTTTAGACTTAAGAGTATATTTCATATTCTGATGTCGTTTTAAACTAATAAAAAGTCTGAACGTTCTAGCGTGAGCTAAAAATGATAGTGACAAATGTTTAACTGCATTTTTTTGGTGTTTGACATGACCCAACCTCCAGACACGGAGCAAGCTCGAAACACCTATGCGCTCATACCTATGTCTAATAAAGATGCTTTGCAAAATATTGCGATGATTTGAACCTGACAACATAAAAGCTCCGAAAATTTACAACTTTATTGAATAAACTTTTAGCGTTCAAAAATTAAGAAAACAAAAAATTAAGAAAACAAAAAACTCTCTTAAACTGAGGGGGTTCAAACTCTTTCAAACTGAGGGGGTTAAAACTTTACAATTTTTGAAGCCTAAAAGATTATTCTATGAAATCTAAATTTTTTTGACAATTTACAATTTAGTTTATTTTATCAACTTGTTGCTCTCACGTTTGGAGCAGATTCGTCGCACACTTTGAGGTTTTTTTGTTTCCAGGTTCCTATCATCGCAATTTTTAGCAAAGCGTTCTTGTTTGACACAAAAAATGCTGGAATATTTTTAATTAAGTGATTTAATTAATTGAAACAATTAAGTTAGTGTTTATAAAGTTTAATTTTTCAAGTTTTTTAATTTTTTTGTAAATATTAATATTGATATAATAACTAAATTTTAAATATTTTCAAATATTAAAATACCTAAACAAAACTACAGAACCTGAAGGAAACAAACTACAGATTACTTTTACATCGCCAGTATTTATAAAACTTTTATAAAAAATAAATGTAAAACTACACTATGCTTGTAACATTAAACCATAACTTTCTTTTACTTTACAGTAAAAATAATAAATTTATCAAATGTTAGTTTTACTATTTACATATAAACTGTTTTTAAATCCCAGTTTAATTACATCAAGTGAATAACATCAGAACATGAAAAAACTAAATGATTTAACATTAACAAGATAAAAAAAGTCATTCAGAAGTGTTTAAAAGTTTCCTTTATTAGTTATCATAGAATATTAAAGTTTAACTAAAACGCAGTTTTAAAAGCTTTTAAACGCACATCTTTTAACAATCTAGCAGACAATTGTAGAGAGGCAGAAGTGCAAATGTTTTAGTAATAGTACTAATACTAGTAGTAGTAGTAGTACAAGTACTACTAGAACTACTACTAGTACTACTACTACTACTAGTGTTACTACTACTACTACTACTACTACTACTACTACTACTACTACTACTACTACTACTACTACTACTACTACTACTACTACTACTACTACTACTTACTACTACTACTACTACTACTACTACTACTACTACTACTACTACTACTACTACTACTACTACTATTACTACTACTACTACTACTAGTATTAGTACTACTAGTACTACTAGTACTACTACTCTAACCCTAACCCTGACTACTAGTACTATTAGTACTACTACTACTACTACTCCTGCTACTACTACTACTGCTGCTACTGCTAGGGTTACTACTACTACTACTACTACTACTACTACTACTACTACTACTACTACTACTACTACTACTAATACTAATACTATCTAATACTACTACTACAACTACTATTATTACTATTAAATTCAGAAAAAAAAGTTAATTGCTGGCAATTATTTCAATGGTATTTGTCAGCTGAAAATGTTAAAAACGCCGTTTGTACTTGGGTATATACATCGGCTGATATAGCTGTATGTACGTGAATACACATGTTAGGGTTAGGAATTAAGCAGGCATTTTTTTATATAAAGTAAACTTTTTTTGTATTACTAGTAAATATTACATTCAAATAGTTTATTTGCTTACGCTGCTGGCAATTTTTTTCAGAATGATTTGCCGACACAATCGGCAATTACCACTCGCCATTTAACTTTTCTTTATGTTACAGTACATTATATATATACACAAAGTTTACGGGAAAAAGCTTAAATCTGCCATGATGAATTTAAACAAGCAATATTATTAATATAATAAATGGATAATGTTATTAATATAATAAATTTTTTTTTTAATAAAATCAACATTAAAAATTATATAGCATTAAATTCAATTATTAAGTTAAAGTAAACCTTTTTAGCAACATAATTTGGGTTTGCTATTAATTATGATTAAATAAATGTAAAAAAATCGGAAAAGGGTAAAGTTGCCAGATGGCGGTCATCTTGGAAAGCAGTGTTCTGTTTTTCAAACAATCTTTATGTCAAAGTAATTTTTTTTAATTTAATATTGTTTTAAATACTTTGCATAGTTTTTGTAAGTTTGTATGATTTAATATTTTATTTTGGCAACATTTTATTTTCTGAGAAGGTAGGGTAAAGATTTGGTGTTTATTTCAACTGTTTTTTATAACAACTAATTTATTTTAAGGCCAATGTTAGGCTTGCTTAAAATAAATATCTCTGGATACCTAAAAACGTTATTAGCTTTTGAAAAGATCTATTGAACAATTTTATTTTATTTTTTTTACTCCCTAAGCACCTAAAATGATTAAGTAATAATTGATTAAAAATGTTATAACAATGTAAATTTTAATAACGGTTTAAATTATTGTTTTGTATAAAGTTGCAGGAAAAATTACGCGAGCGTGTCAGGCAAGATAAATAAAAGTTGCAAACTTTAACAATGAATATAAATATTATTGTTCATAACAATTACAAATTTTATCTTTACAAAAGTATTACATAATGAAAAATCGAAGCTTTATAAAAGGCGTACATAAATTCACATCCGTAAACCAAAGTTTTGAATAAAAACGTGCCAAATATTTTCTTTGAACTAAACTACGTTCTCTAAAAATAAATTTTAATTGATAAAACTTGAATTTTAATTCATTTAGTTTTTACAATATACTATTAACTAATTAATTTACTGATGCATTGACAGGTTGGACATCCTCTTTCATCAAGAACATTTCCATTTTCACAGAAAATCATACACACAGGCCCACATATTGGTTGACCTTGAAGCGAAATAAAATATTGTTAACTTTATAATTTATTTGATAGATAAAAGAAAAAAATATTCTTACTATTACAAAGACAAGTTGGACATCCATTCGCGTCAAGTACATTTCCATATGGGCAATATATATCGCACACTGGTCCGCATATTGGTGGATCTTAATAAAAGATAATAAAAGATGGGGGGATCCAGCCTTTTTTATACTTGAGATAACTAACTTTTAAACATGGAACAAACTCTAAACATTTAAGTTTTTATACTTATGTCAAATATGGATGCCTTGCAAAAAATTGCAATGATTGGAGCCTTGGAACAATTAAGCCTTAAAATTTTGGCCACAACTGCCCCAAACGTGAGAGCAAGAAGTTGAAAAATTATTTTTTTTTATTATTACTAAAAATGCATCATTGATTAATTTTAAATTATATAGTATAATTTCTCAGCGTTTAAAAATTATGACCATATAACTTTTAAATCCCCCTCAAATTGAGGGGGTTGCATATTTTATATAAAGTCATATCTTTTTAATGATTATTGTATGAAATTTAAAATTTATCGATAAATGTAACTCAAATAAGAAACAGTAAAAAAATATTTTGTCAACTTGTTGCTCTCAAGTTTGGAAAATTGTGGCCGAATTTTTAGGGCGTTTTTGTTCCCAGACTTCAATCGTCGCAATTTTTCGGAAAGCATCCTTATTTGACATAAGTATAAAGATATAAATGTTTGGTGTTCGTTCCTTGTCTGAAAGTCAGCTATTTCAAATACCAAAAAATGCTGAATCCACTCCTATATATATATATATATATATATATATATATATATATATATATATATATATATATATATATATATATATATATATATATATATATATATATATATATATATATATATATATATATATATATATATATATATATATATATATATATATATATATATATATATATATTTAAAAAATCAATATTTGAACTTTGTCAACTGGAACCCCAAAAAATTATCAGTCTTTGCAGATTTTATGCGAGACAAAGTTTGAGCACAATATTAGCATGTTAATCCAGTTCATTGTCATGAACTGAAATTTAAGTTTAAATAAAAATCATACCATAATTTTTATTTAAATTTAGATTTTAGGACAGCTGTATTTTCTTTCTTTTTTTTTTTGTTATTTTTATGTTTATTTTCAAAAGCAATAGTTGTTTTTAGTAATACCTTATGGAAAAAAATTTTTTTTGTTGGGGGGGGGGGGGGGGAATAAGCACCTTACTTCTTTTAGTCGTTAAATTTTGTCTACTTTCTTCTACAACTTTCATACTGTTATTTTAAATATAAGAGATTTAGAAAGAATTACCATATAAAAAGTAATTCTTATGGAGGAAAAGTTCGCGTCACTATAAAACTTAAGATGCTATTTTTAAATAAGAGAAACTTTACGCAGAGTGGAGAAATTTATAAAGGGAAAAAATATGCTGCCGGATCATGCAAAGAACAAATTCAAGGAGTTTTCCCTAAAGAAGGTATCTTTGATATTGTCATCAAGATGTGTTGGCCATGATGAAATTAAAAAAAGACAAGGAATTTTTTTTGAAACAAAAGGAAAAGGGTTTACCAGGCTTTGTGCTTGGAGTTGATCTAAAGTTACCTTAAGCTGAAGAAAAAAACCTACGAAAAGAACGTGCAAAAAGGAACCATAAAATTGAAACGGAATTATTAAACACGGTTACGTTTAGTTTTTATTGTTGTTCTAGCACAACAAGCATAAACAAAATAAGATAAGCAAATTAAACATTTCTATAATTCATTTGGTCTTTTTTGATCTCTTTTTTTGTTCTTTGAGACAATTAAAAAAATGAGAACACTTATGAAGAGAAATATACAGGCAATAAAGAAATCGAAGATGTGCTGCAAATGGACATTTGTACTTCCCAAGAGAATTATTGCAAAAGAATGAAGCGCAGCGTTCAAAAAAATTCTGTTGTTGGATTGATGTATGTATCTGACAGAAACGCCATTCGTACACTTAAAGCTAATAAAGAAACTTTTACCCGATCTTCTTAGCACAGAGAGATAAAATTGCTGTTTTAATTACTTAAGGAGAAAATGTACTGCAAAAAGTTCCGGTAGCAGACAGCAGCACGATGAAGAACAACCCCTAGCTGAGTGGTATATGAGTGTCTTCCATACTATCAAAGCAGTATGCTTTGACACGACTGTAGATTTCAAAACTTGTAAAATCACATACTAGAGATAAATCAAAGAAGCTCCTAAAATTGATATTAGTGTTTGTAGAAGCATTGAATAGGACGGAAGTGGGACTAAGATATGTAGGTGCAATCATTCATACCAAGTAAAGTCCATTCTCTTGGTTTTGTTTAAAAATATTCCTATTCCTCGGACAATATAAACTGAGTGATGAAGAACACTGCATATAAGCTGTCTGTATATTTCTTCTTAGAGTGTATTGTAAAGCTTGGTTCAATGCTAAAAATTTGGGTCCCAAGCAAGATTTTTACCTCTTGCAACGCTTGTTGGGATATATGTTGTTATGTTGATATGTTGATATGTTGATATGTTGATATGTTGATCCCAACGCTTGTTGGGATATATGGAGATTGACAAAGGTTTTTCTAAAAAAGCGTCCAAGAAACTTTTTGGGGTATTTCAATACAGAATTATTAGCTATTCTTGTTCTTTGATCCCTCAATTCAGACAAAGAAAAATCGGAAATGGCAAACAAAGTTTTTTTCTGAACTTTTCAGGATTAATAAAGTTTTTTTTCTGAAAAACCCCCAGAAGCTGACTTGAAAATATATATTTTAAGGTAAGATTGAATATTGTGAAGTCACTAAATGTTGTAAATGATGTCAAAGAACAAAGAGTGAAATTAATTACAGATTTAATAATCAAAGACGAAAAGCAAAAATAATATATTTTACAATTAGTTCAAAAATGCCAAAATTAATATTCTGAAGTTTCTAAAAATACTTTAAAATGATAAAGGCCTTTAAATGAAAAAAATTAAAAAATTTTGATTTTCAAAGTTATTAACCTTGGTAGTTCTATTCAATGTAATTCAAAGTTTCCTTGTTAGTTTAAACCTTAACAAGTACAGTTTTCTAAACTTAAGACAAACCTAAAAGTATGTTTAACTACATTCATGCTAGTTCCAACCACCAGCCAAGTATTTAAAACTGTTACCCACCTCTACTGAACATAGGCTATCATCCAAGTCTTCAAAACGAAGCAATTTTTCAAGACTTTGCTCCTATTTACAAAGTAGCACTAACAAAGTTTGGTTACATGTCTCAATTTAAATCCTCTTAATACTAAGCCACTACAGAGCGCAAACAAAACATGAAATGGTTTTCCCCTTCAGAAAAAGCGTTGCCTCTAAAATTCAACATGCAGCAGTCATAGCACAAAGGCTAGAGTCCTGGCTCAGAACTAAGTGGTTTGAGGTTCGATGCCGGCTCTAGCCCAATTTTTAATATCGGCAAAGAAGAAGGCGTGAACTTTCTGGTTTATCGCTCCTCCGAGGTGTTCTACAATAACATTTTACAATAATATTTTATGTTCTACAAAAACATTTTCAAATGTTAGGTCTTCTTAGAGCATCTTCATAACTAAAAAAAAATGAATAATAAAAAAGAAATATTTTTTTTAATTTTACCTGTCTTGCATTATCTATCGCATCACATGCTTCACAAGATATTTAACAGAAATACAATCAAAATAAGTTACTGTTATATGGCAAATATTATAATTATTGTGAACTCACACAACCAACAAGTTTAGCGCAATAAAAATAACACTAATTTTATACACTGTAACTGTATTAATAGAGCTACATGTTTATTAGGGAGTGGCTAACTAAAAATGCCATTTATAAAGCAACTTTTACACCATATGACGCCACTTATACAGAAAATTCATAAATTGATTACTAAACTGGTACTAATAAAATTATTAGCAAAAACTCTTTTAAGCTCAGGTCGGCTAACAGAATAAAATTTTAATTTAACAGGTATAAAAACAATGGTAAACTTTTTACGGAAGTCTGGAAACTTAAGGAAGCAGGTATTAAATCTATAGTCAAATGGAGCATAATTATAACATGTCAATCTTATTTTCCATCCTCAAAAGAGTGTAATATTTGCTTAAATTAAAAATATTTTATTAAAACATTTAATCGAAAACTCATGTTAAATAAAATAGCGAAATGTTTTCCTAATGTTATCAGAAAGAACTTTTCGTTTTTATTGATATCGGTCATTTTGATATCGGTTAGACGACGTTATGATGTAAAATAGAGATTCTTACCATTATCATGAATGGTTATACCATTGTATTACAAAAGATTCTTACCATTGCAACGACAAGTCGGACATCCATTTGCATCAAGAACATTTCCATACTCGCAAAATATTTTGCACACGGGTCCGCATTTTGGTTGACCTAAATAAAAGATTGTTGTTTGTAATCGTAAAAAAATATATTTTGTAAATCAAATAAAAAATGATTCTTACATATTCCCATCAAATCTGTACTTTTGTTCTTGACACATGTTAACTCGTTGCCACACTTTTTAGTATTTAACAGTATCCCTCCGCATACTTCACCAACTGCCTGAGCGCATATGTCACAACAACCACAAAAGTCTTTGACTGTCCCAGCTAATAATAAAAAACTGATTTATACATTATAAATATAAACACATACTTAAAATAAAATTGATTTATACAGAAGTTATCTGCAATTTTTTAAATAACAACTTTATAAATTTATTATAACTTTAAACAAATTTATGGTCAAATATAGGATAGTTAATAATTCTAAATGTAATATTTTTATTGTGATTCGTATAAACCGTCGTAAAAACATTCTTTTTTTAAACATTTTTTTATTACCAAATTTATTTTAGAAAATCCATTCTAATGCCAAAAATCTATAAACTTCGATCGTCATTAAAATTTATAGATTTTGTTTCTGTTTACTATTATTTTGTTATAGACGTAACAAAAGCAAGTTAAATTAAAACTTTCATTAAAAATGAGCGAGACGTATATAAGGCGAACTTTTTATTTATATCTAAAAATGCGCTTTTTTTTACCTTTTTTGAGAGCCGACAAAAAAATCCCAACCAAAGTTTTGTATTAATGCAATTCATGATTGTGGCTTACCTTAGTGTCTAGTCGTGGTGTTAAACAATAACAACCTCTACACTAATTTAATTAAAAATGCATAATTCTCTTCCCAACCGGCACATCTAGTTTCACTTTCGGAATTAAAAACCTGTACAGACCCGCAACAGAAACCAAGCATAACTTTTTTCTGATTTGTGCTGGGTTACTGGAGTTATAAAAAATATTTTTCCTTCGATAGGTGACAAAATTTACGCTATAATCTGCTCGAGATAAAAACTTTTAAATTTAAATCCTTTTAAAGTTATTAAAGTTTACCTTTACATCCCTCTGGTGCTTTGCATTTAACCATAGCACAATTAATCCAAGTAAGTGCAGTTAAAGAGTAGAAAATAGAGAAAAACAGACATAAAGTAAAAATTAGCTGAGTCATTTTGAATCAGTATTATTTTTTTTTTAAAGTAATTTTCCTGTAGAATGAAAGAATTTTAATTATGACTAACAACATATTTAAAAGAAAAAAGTAAAAAAAAAAAAAGATCTTGCAATTTAATTTTCTATTGAATAGTCACATTCAACAACTTGCATTCAACAAAGCTTCGTTAACACATTTATATAGACATAACTAGTATATTGAATTTAAAATTTATTCAACTTTGTAGTAAACCCAATTTGTAATAAATCTTTTATACTTAATAAGTATCATGATAAATGTAATAAGTAACAAAAAATCTATTTATTTAAAATAAAACAAAATAATTTGAATATGTTGAAACTATCTTTGATATCAGTTAAAAACAATCATAAACGTTCACAGTAAAGTTTCGCTGCAAAATCACTTTTACAAAGTGTCCCCATTTACTATAAGCATAAATATACCCAACTCTGAAATTCGATTTTAAACACACAAAAATGCTTGCACAATCCATGTTTAAAGGATTTTATATTTTCTAGTGAAATAAAAGCATTATTATTTAGTACAAGTTACGTAACTCTGATGAGTTCCAACAAACGCTGCCACGTTTAACAATAATTTAGGAAATACGGCAGGTACTTTCTTAATAAGTGGTACTTCCTAAATGTTGGCCAAAAAATATTAAATATTTTTTTGGCAAACATTCAGGAAGTATTATTTAAGAAACACTTCCTCGTCAATATCGCTTTTGAATCAAAATGTAACTATAGTTACGTTTGGTGATATTTAGATGTAAAATACAACAGAATAAAAAACTGACTTTCAAAATGCGTTACTATGCAATTAAACTGTATTAAATTAAACTATTGTTGATTAACATAACATAAATTTAATATCAAAAGTATAACTATGAAAAGTATATATGAGCAGTTCTAAAATTCTATTGTTTATTTATAATAAGCAAACAAACAGTAAAAAATGCAATATAGGATAAATAAGCTATTATTAATATTTTCTAATTTAAAAACTTTTAGAAATTTAATTGATTTTCATTTCAGGAATGACACGGATTTTGAAGTAGAGGGGCACAATTATCAATTTCTAAAAAAGTCATTTATATTTAGAAATTTCTCAAAGAAAGGTTTTTAGAAAAAAATGGAGGGTGGGAAGAAGTGCTCCTGGGGAATTTTACTTAATAAATTGTACTGAAACTTTGGACCTCGGTTTATTAATGAGATTTTAGTAGCGGATTAATTAGTTCTGGGTTGAATGTAATTGAGTTTTGAAAATCTGGTCGCGTATAATTGATTCGTTTTTTTAAAAAGTGAATTAATTAAGACTGTTAATACTTTTTTTATCAAGTTTAAGTATAATTAAGGTTTAGTTTAAATACATTTAGAATATTGAGTTGATTAAGTAGTGTTTTTGTTTTACTTTGCAACTTTTTACTTTCGTTGGGTTAGAGCACCTAACAACGTGTGCATCATTTAAGTAGCAATTAATATGCAAAAGGTTTTTCAATCAAGAAAAATTTAATAACTGCTTGACTTTGTACATTGTAACAACATCTTTAACTTCACATATGTGGTCTATAAATATAAATGAAAAGGTTTGGGACTTTTAGGAATATATCTGATTTTTTAATAATGTTTATTTAGTTTAATAGAAGTTTAAAGATAATTTGTTTAATATAAATCTTTGGATTATTTTGTTTAGTTCTTGTCTAGTACTGGAATAAAATAAGTTAGTATCATCTGCAAACAAATTTGAATTTGAAATTTGAAAAACGCATATGAATCGTTTATATAAATGAGAAATAGAAGTGGTCATAAAAATGATCTTTCAGAACACCACAGTTAACTAACTCATAATCAGATTTTTCCTCCATTATATACTGCCTTCTATTAATCATTTAACTTTTAAACTACTTACTATCTATATCAAAATCTTTGAATTTGAAAAGTTAAAAATAATGATTTATTATTTTAAAAGCTTTGCATAAATCAATAAATACACCAATGGTATACTTGTCATCATCAAATGTATTATATTATATATTAGACGTTCCAAAGTTTTACAAACAATTCGAGTAGTTCTATATTAATTTGAATCCAAAATGTTTATGGTAAAAAATATTGTTTACATAAAGAAAAAGGATAAACTCTATTATACATAACTTGCTTTAATATTATACAAAACAAGAATTAAGACAGGTTTATAATTTGCAACATTAAAAAGATCACTAGATTTGAAAATTAAAAGAACTTATATAATATTTAGGTTTTCTTGAAAGTCATTAAATTAATAATATGTAATAATGAATAATAATTGATTTGATCATTAGGGAAGAGTGGGGCACAGTTGAATAAGAGGCACAGTTGAACAAAGCCATCAAAGACATCAAAATCAACACAATTCATTCATCTATGCTCAATTGCGGACGTTACACAGTGTTACGCTGATTATGTTACTATTTAATTAAATTCGAATAAATATTCTTTGTTGTGAAGCTCGGTGTAAACAAATTGAGATTATTACTTTTCAATTGATATTCAACAACAATTCTGATTTCTGGTTTGTCGATATATTATGAGTACTTTTGATTTTATCAGTAGATTTGTAACTCACGTATTTAGAAAATGCAACTGTACTCAATAATTTCAGCACATTATTTACGTATGGTCATGTCAGTAGACCGCCACAGTGTGGGGCATTACTGAACATAAATAATAGGGCACAACTGAACATGTTCAGGTGTGTCCCCTGGTTTGTTTGACATGCTTCAGCTGTGCCCCACCACGGGGTACAGCTGAATAATTTTGCGAGCTTTGTTATAATGCATGTCAACTACAAAGTACAACTGTTTTTATCTTTCTAGGACATAATTTAATTCCACCAAAGATAGTTTTATTTGTATTAAATTTCGGAGTAAAGTTACAAGCAGAAAAATATTAGTAAATCAAAATTTAACAATTTTTGTTCAGCTGTGCCCCACTCTCCCTTACTACTTATGCCACCAAACCCTAAACGTTTATTGGACTTTAATTTTATTATCTTAATTTTATCAGCGAAATACATATATAGCAATGGGAAAATACATTCATAACAATGGAAAAATACATAATACAATAAATTTATTGTATTATGTATTTACGTCGAACCTTGGACCTCTTGGATCTGGTGTGTAGTATTCCGATGTGTAATGTTGTTTATCGTTATTTCCTAAAAAAATAATAAAAATATTAATTAGTTTTGCGACATTTTAAAATATTATCTACCTAGAAATATTTTTTCCTTAATAATTACCCTATAAATTATTTATTGCATAAATCAGTAATAAATAAGTATTGACATTTGTTTATTACCGTCATTTAAGCAATTTTTTTAATTAAAAAAAAATAAGTCAATGATGAAAGTCATCGACTTTATATTAAAGTTTGATGATAAACATTATTTCGTTGACATAAAGTTAAAAGTATAAGTAATAAACAGATTTATATCTAAATAGTGTTCTATATTGATTCTTTATTACAAACATATTTTATAACTCCAACAATGGCGTTTTATGTTAACGTAATATTAGCCGTATTTCTATTTGTAAAACTTCGTGAAATAAGAATTTTATTGATTTTAATAAATTTAAAAATATTCATTTAAACAAACGGATGATGTACTTAAAAATCATTTTACTATTTAAAACTAAATTTCATTCTTAATTTATATTATATATTTTGTCGCTTTTTGCAACCTTGTAAATTACTAATTACAAACATTAAAACAAACTTAATGATAAACCAGTAGTTAAACTAAATGAAGTAGTTTTCAGAGGTTTATATATAATATATATATATATATATATATATATATATATATATATATATATATATATATATATATATATATATATATATATATATATATATATATATATATATATATATATATATATATATATATATATATATATATATATATATATATATATATATATATATTTAAACAATTGCAACTACTAAATAAGGTTTAACATTGCCATGAGGTTCTAGAGTAAGATTATCTGGTTAAATAAAGGCTATACGTGTTTAAAAACAAATTCGTTTGTTTTTTAAAGTTAACATGTATTGCAAGAATTGACATTTAAATATATTGCCCCAATGTTTTATTTCCAAATGTTCTTAATTTACAGTTTTTAATGATTGTGTTAAATAATTTCGTGTTACGTAATGTGTTTACATATGTTTATATATGTTTGTATTATGTTGTTTCCGTATTTTAGAAGTAGTGTTGCTTGGCAATGTATAGAGCATGATTGTTATCCCTGCCAGTCAAGCGTTTTTTTTTAAGTTATGGTTTTACTGATCACCATTCATTTACTTAGACTCTTTAGAAAAAAAATAAGTATATGTTATAATAATATATCAATTTATATTGTTATTAATGATTTATTTATTAATAATCTGTTTTACGTTTTTCGCTAGTTTTATCAAGCTAGCTAACTACTAGTTTGATAAAGCTATCAAAATAAATAAAAAAATTGTTAAAAACCCTAGTACGTGGCTACAGATCAAACATAATATGGAGTTTCATTTATTTATTTCCTAATCATTTATTTATTTCCTAATCATTTATTTATTTCCTGTAGCTTCTTTTTTCTTTTTATGTTGTTTCAAAAACATTTAAGAAATTTATTACGTCACGTCGGTGAATGTGCGACAACACTCGTTGTTTTATTAAGTTGAATTTCATGGAGTTTTTACTAAGCTTGCTAACATAGTAACATTTTGTGTATTTAGTGACTTATTTTTGATTTAAATTGTTTTGTTTTGTTTTTTTATTTTGAGGTAAAATAAAATATTCAAAAAAAGTGATTCTCTGTAAACCCAAAATATCTAAATAAGAAACTACGCGTAAAAAGCTAATCAAGTTAACTGGAATAAAGAAAGCACAAGAAATGCTCGAACAGCAGTAAAATTAAAAAAAAAATGATAACAAGCTTCTAAAAATTTAATGCGCCTAAAAGATTCTTTACATGAGGCTTTTTTAGGTTAAAACAAAAAAAGTTTTAACTATATCTTTTTTAGTCTTAAAACGTTGAAGTTAAATACTTTTTGGTAGAAAACAGAATTCAAAATTTTTACAAAAGTATCAAATTGTAACTATAACATAAAATATGTAAAATAAGAAAAATTATGATCATAAAATTTTTAAAATGTAAGGTGTTTTCAGGGTTTAACAACACGGGGGGAGGGGGAGGGTGTTTGAAAGGGGGGCAGGGCGGCACTGCCCAATACCTTTTTTCTCAAAAACGTTTTTTTTAGAAATTTCTAGATACAGAGGAACTTATTGTAGAAATTGACAATTATGCCCCTCCACTTTGAAACCCGTGTCGTGGGCCCGATCTTTACCGTTAATTAAACTTTATTTTTAATTTTTAAATATGTAGTAATAGTTAACTTATACTGCTTTAAAAAAATTAAAAAACTTTTATTTTAAATTCAACTAAAATTTTTTTTTTTCACTTTAAAAATATGAACATAAATACTAGCCAATTAAAAGTTCCACACTCTTCTGTGTTTTGTTTTGGTTTAAACAAACCATAAAACTATTTTTAAAATAACACAGGATCATTTACTGCAGTTTCTTGCGCCTTAAAAAGATTTTTTATACTTTAAATTTAGAAAAATTAACTTTCTTAATACTTAATAATATTTTTTTATAATTTTTAAAGACGTTTTACGTTATAACCTAATAACATTTGGTCGAATCTAATTGGTTAGAGAAAAATGTCATTAATAATAATATTGTATCTTCTCATTCCAGATGAGGAAGACCAGTAATGGATTTAGGAGATCTGTGTAAAAGAACCAAGTAAGGTTGCTAACCCATAAACATGCGCTTTGTTTTCTTATAGATCAAATTCAAGTTTAGCGCAAAATATCTGTACCGATAAAAACCCTTCGCAAAAACCTTGGATATTATTCTATTAAATTTATTTTGTTATATTGACATGGTTTTCACTTACTATAACTGTAAGTGTGAAAACACGCGCAAACTGGCAATCGGGAGATTTTTGAACAAAAATTAACGCCGTAAAACGCATGTAAATAGGAAAAGAGAAAAGTTTCAACGATCAATTTCGAAAGCAGAGTTCTGTCTTTTAAATAATCTTTAAATTGTATTGGGAGTGTAACTTAATTCGTGCGGCTTTCTAGATGAAGTTACTAGTTTTATTTTGCATCGTTATCATATGTGATTATATTCATTTGGAAGCTACTGTCGTTCCTCATCTTTTTTAGTATATGTCATTTGAAAATATTGAACTTTGTGCCAGATAAAGTATTTTTGCGGGGTGTTCTTCTTCATTACTTCAATATGAAGAAAAGTGTTGCCGAAAGTTATCGTATTTTAGAGGAAGTTTATGGCGATCATGCTCTAGCTAAAAGAACGTGTCAGAGGTGGTTTGCACGGTTTCAAAGTGGCAATTTCAACTTGGAAGACAAAGAACGACCCAGACAACCAAAAAAGTTTAAAAATGAAGAATTGGAAGCATTGTTCGAAGAAGATTCGTGCCAAACGCGAGAAGAACTTGCATAATCATTGGAAGTCACTCGAGCAGCCATTTCAAAACGTTTAAAAGCATTAGGATTCATCCAAAAGCTTGGAAATTGGGTGCCGCACGAATTGAAACCGAATGACGTTGAAAGACGATTTTGCATGTCGCAAATACTGCTTGAACGCCATCAAAGGAAGTAGTTTTTGCATCGGATTGTAATTGGTGATGAAAAATGGATTCACTACGATAAGCGCAAGAAATCGTATGTGAAGCCTAGCCAACCATCAACATTAATGGCGAAGCCAATTATTCATGTTGCAAAGGTTATGCTCTGTATTTTTTGGGATCAGAAGGGAGTGCTTTGTTATGAGCTGTTGAAATTGAGCCAGACGATCGCAGGGGATTTCTACCAAACAGAATTGATGCTTTTGAAGAGAGAAATTGAGGAAAAACATCCAGAATATGTTACCAGACACGAGGTCATAATTATCCACCATGACAATGCTCAACCTCATGTTGCAAGACCGGTTAGAAATTATTTGGAAAACAGCAGCTGGGAAGTTCTACCTCACCCGCTTATAGCCCAGACATAGCCCCTTCTGACTACCACTTGTACCGATCGATACAGAATGCCCTCACCGGAATACGCTTCACTTCATTTGATGGTATCAAAAATTGGCTTGATTCGTTCTTGGCCGCCAAGCCGGAAAAGTTCTTTTGGGATAGAATCCACAACCTGCCAGAACGATGGAAAAACGTCGTAGCTTCAGATGGACAATACTTTAAACATTGAATGTATAATCATTTTTTCACAATAAAACCTCAATTTTTGAAAAAAAACCGCACGAATTAAGTTACACTCCCAAAAGTAAATTTTTTTAATGTCATTTTGTTTACGATGTTTTTTTATAGTTTTTATTTGTTAGTTTTTAGGATTTGTTATTTACATAGTAACATTATATTTTTTTACAAAGTGCGTTGGGTTAAGATTTTTTGTCTATTTTATCTTTTTTAAAACAACTATTTTTTCGTAACTAATCCGATGAAAATGTTAGATTTCCTTATAATATGTCCGGATACCAAAAATCGTTATTCGATCCTGAAAAGAAATAGTCAATAATCTTGCCCTCATGGCACCTAACATAAAAAGGTAATAATTTTTAAAGAAAAAAGACAGCAACTATGTAAGTTTTTCCAATGCTTTTACTGTATGTTTTGTATATAGTTACAGGTAAATTTGTATAAAGAAGCAGATATAGGTATATATCTGCTTCTTTATACAATATTTCTATTATATTTTGGAATATAATAAATAAAAGTCATAAATTTAAAGATTGATTATAAATATTATTATTCTTAACAATTACATATTTTATATCTACAAAAGCTTTAAATAATGAAAATTTGAAACGTCTTATGATTTCTCTGTCCAAAACCAAAGTTGTGAAAAAAAAGTTACACAATATCTTCTTTAAGTTATACTCCTTTATCTAAAAAAAAAAATTTAACTCATAAATTCTGATTTTTAGTTCATTTAATTTTTAAAATATTTATTTATTATTTATTTTACTGTTGCATTGGCAGGTAGGACATCCTCTTTCATCAAGAACATTTCCATTTTC